AGTATTTAGAATATGGTTTCCCATTTTATTTGTTCCAGGAAAGCAATAATCTAAATGATTATTTATAATCATAAATTATACACACACACACACGCAATGCACACATGCATACACACAAAAAATACACACTCTCTTGCACTCACTTGCTCTCTCTCTTTCTCACTCTCTCCCATTCTCTCAGTATATGTATGTACTATATATTCTGCAATAAATAAGACTTTTCTCTTATTTTCTCAAAAATATTTTTGTTTAAACCTTGCTTGATAGTTAGCTGTTTGTTGGAAAAATAGCCAGACTAAGACACAGTTTCTTTTATATGTATGTATGTATGTATGTATGTATGTATGTATGTATGATATGTATATGTATATGTATATGCATATATATCTTCCTTGCTTTGCTTACATTTACTATTTTCCCATGAGTACTTTAAAGCTATTATCTTAAAGACCTTAATTATACATATCTCAGGGTAACAGTCTTCAGATTACTGATTCCAGAGCAGTCTCTGCAGACAATAGCTGAACCTCTATGAAAAAAAACTTGAAGGGATTTAAATATGGGAGTCTGCATAAGTTGAGAAAAAGACAGACAGCCTTTTTCATAAGGTTTGAAAGAGCACCCAGCATGAAAGAAATAATGCTGCTCTGCTGAACTTGTCTCAAACAACATTCTTCTGCTTCCCGAGGAAATAGCAGTTACACCTTTTAGAGTTTTATAAAATAACTGCTAGAACCTTTTGTAGTATTAGAATATTTTATTGGTGCATTCATATGTTTATTAAGACTTTGAAACTTGTTTTATTTTAAGATTTTTGTTAGCCTTTTTACTTTGCACTGTTTATAGAAATAGCTTACCCAGGGAAGTGAGATAAGTGATGTAAGGTGTACATCGCTTCTCTTTAGATAAATCAATTCTCAGAAAAGGTAGAGGCCTTTGTAAGAAAGAAAGGAATTTCCTTATGTGAAATATTGTTGAAATGGGAAATGGGTAATTGGACAAAGAGTGGTAATCTATAGGAGGAACTAATTGTATAGTATATATAAGATGAATGGAAGGGGTTTTTGCAGTCACACACCTAGCAGCTTGTTTTATTGATTTTGGTTGAAAAATAAAGAACTTAATTCATGCAATTGCTTGGGGCTTTATTTGTTTTTTTTATCCCAGCTAACAAACAAACTTGGTAAGAAATAAAAATTCCAACATATCTATGCTTTCCCTGTAATCAATGTATTAGGGACTGATTTTTGAAAAAATAATAATAGTAAAACTTAGAAAAACTAAGAAAACTAATTGTGCCTCCAGTCTTGATGCTTATTTGTTGATGCTAAGAGTAGGCTATTCTTACATGATGATTAGGCAAAGGTTCCCCTCGCACATATGTGCTAGTTTTTCCTGACTCTAGGGGGCGGTGCTCATCTCCGTTTCAAAACCAAAGAGCCAGCGCTGTCCGAAGATGTCTCCGTGGTCATGTGGCCATCATGACTAAACAGCAAAGGCACACTGAACGCTGTTACCTTCCCACCAAAGGTGGTCCCTACTTTTCTACTTGCATTTTTTATGTGCTTTCGAACTGCTAGGTTGGCAGAAGCTGAGACAAGTAACCGACACTCACCCCATTACGTGACACTAGGGATTCGACCTTTCGATTGACAAGCTCAGTGTCTTAGCCACTGAGCCACCGCATGATGATTAATAAGAGGCTACTAAATTTATAACAAATAATATTTTTAATAATATACAGCATTAAAGATAGTTGACAATTTATTAGTAATAAATTATTATAATCATTGATATGTGTGATTATATGTTAGTAAAATATTATAATTTGATAACTAGAATAGAATAGAATAGAGTAACAAGTTGGAAAGGACCTTGGAGGTCTTCTAGTACAACCCCCTGCCCAGGCAGGAAACCCTACACCACTTCAGACAAATGGTTATCCAACATCTTCTCAACTAGTTTTTATGAATAACTAGATTACTAAACAGAGTCAATGACTTCTAAAAAATTATGTTTAGCGAGCAGCTCCTCTACTTAACAATGGCAGTATAGTCGCTTCAAATTATAAATGTCTGTAGATATATTTTCCTGATGATTTTCTAATATTGCTTTCTTTTGACTCCTAATTTTTAGTTTTGTTTTAGTTTTTTTCTACAGCAATTTCATTTGCAAATTATTTTATATAACTTTTTCCAAGCTGTACTTGGTCTTTGAGTGGGACAGTATTCCAAAAAGCTGGAAATGGGACTGAGAAAGAAACCAAATCTGATCTGTCTGCATTTACCCTAACTAATTTAAATTTAGTTAAAATTTTGATTAATATAATTGCTATAGGTCATGACTTTTACAATTTTGTCTTTCTGTTACATTAAAAATTAAAATTTGATTACATCTCTTGAAGTTCTGAATGGGAAATCTGCCTAAACTTTGTTTTATACCAGACAGGAAAAATGTTAGAAATGATCTTGTTAAACAAAGTATATATAATATTCTGGTCTCCTTGAAATTAGTTCAGCCAGGCAAAAATAATTATATGGACACATTCAATATGGTATTGCCTAAATAATATGCAAACATTAATGCAGATCTAGTAAAAGATGCATAATTAATTAGGATTTGTATTACCAAATATTAAAAATCTCTCATGGGTTCATTGATTTGGAAAATTAGTGAATCCTCTTAAATGATTCACTAACTATTAAGGACATTATTTTTTATTTGTTTACATTTTTTTAAAAAAAGGTCTCTCATTGAGTCTTGCTATAAGGCTCTGATCATTATTCTACATGGTGAGAACAAAAATGGACAAGTTGAAAAAGGATATTTCGGCCTCATATCACTTTTAGAAAATAACTGAATCTGAAATTTTTTCAAGCAGAATTTATGTATAGTATATATTGAGTATATAGTTAAGGGTAGGCAAATTTATTTCTATTCTGTGACACTTGCACATGCTCAAGTGTAAGCCTACATGGTCCTTCGTGCCGCAATCTATGGTATAAGCCAGTGGTGGGGTTCAAAATTTTTTACTACTGGTTCTGTGGGTGTGCCTTGGTGGGCGTGGCAGGGGAAGGATACTGTAAAATATCCATTTTCTCCCAATCAGTTGGGACTTGGGAGGCAGAGAATACATGGGGGTGGGGCCAGTCAGAATTTTTACTACCGGTTCTCCGAACTGCTCAAAATTTCCGCTACCGATTCTCCTGAACTGGTCAGAACCTGCTGAAACCCACCTCTGGTATAAGCCCTTTGGAGATTTCTATCTTGTCTCCAATCTCTGGGTAGGAAATACAAGAGACCTGCAGATTCTATATCAAAATTCACAATTTCATCCTAGCCAATTCGTTATTTTCAAATTTTGTCTTCTTAACTTTTATTGTGTGTTATACAAAACTAAAGGCACGTAAGACTTGTCTTGGATCAACATTAGAAAAAGATAGCAATACTTGCATATGAAATGACAAGGATTAGAAGAACAATTTGACCAATCTTATCAAATGAAGGTAAATTGTAGACAGCAAAATTGATTTATAGTATGAAACTGGGATGAAGTTAACCAATGGTTTCAATAATGTTAAAATTAATATCGCTGTAGAAATATTTTGAGGTAGTGTAGCCCTGAGTCCAATGTGACTAAACTTGACTGGACTAAGACTATTTTTCAGTGAAGTTTCAACTTTAAAAAAAAACACTGTAACTTTTAGTTTCCATTTCTTTATTGTTTGAAATTATTTTCAAGCTTTTCGTTTTTACTGTTGTAGTAAACATAGTATGTCATATCATTTTTTTCATCAATGTCTTATCACTTCCTGTTTCATCTTAAATTAAACTGCAAACTGTACTGTATGATTCTCTTACAGGCAAGCTTTTAAAATCCAAACTTAGGCAAGTTTCTCTCCATAAGAGCTTTGTTCATAATGCTTTGGAATATTTTACTTCCATATGTTAAATTTTTGAAATGTCTACAATATATCACTTCTTCTAGTTTAACTTTAGAGTGGGGAGATGGTATATCTTAGTAATAAAGCAGACGGATTATAAGCAAAGTTTCCAGGTAAGGCTGAGAAAATATATTGTGCAAAACTCTAGAGAGCTATTGCCAGTAATTGCCGACTATGCTGTAGATGGAAAAATGGACTGATTCAGGCTGAGCAGGTTCTTTTCCTATAATCTGCTGCTCTGTCAGGTTAGATAGGGTGTGTACAATCCAGATCCTTTCCCTTAAATGGTGCCATCCAATGAGGCTTGGAAGATGCCTTCAAGTAAAGTCCATTACAGATGTGCCCAACTACTGAAAGAAAATAGAAATTAGAGAGGGCTAGACAAGGCTTCCTTAGACAATGCAGGTAGAAATAATGTGTGCAAACATTGTGCCTTCTTCATGGAATTTTCTTCCATGGACTTAACATCTAAACAGTTAGTTGATTTCCTTTGTGTTATTAAATCATTAATATACATATCAGTAAATAAATCATAGATGAATGGAAGTTTACCATAACGTAATTTCAAATATCTGACAAATTATTTTATAAGAACAATGCAGCAATTTAGAACATTTATTTCTTTTCTATGATTTTCTCTGGAAGATAAAACTTATAAATAACCAAGGACTATGTACAAACAATTCCAAATCAACCTCAGGTATTGTTTTAGTTTCAACAAATTGAGTTCAACCAACTGGATAAAATTATATTCTTTTGATTTATTTAAAATTCTTTAACTTTTAATAACAAAACAACTGGTTTATGAGTGTATAGATCTAAGAAAGGTATTACCATCCTACAGATTCAGGTACTGGTGAAAGTTAGATGCAGGGATTAAACATAATTTATTCAATGGCAGAAGGACATTTAATCTTTCCCCCTTAGATTGTTAAAGAAGCTCCTATTTCACTGGAACAAAAATCCATCAAAAGACATCATTCATAGGGGTCTGAGAATTCCTGTAGTTAAAGATATTTCATTAATATCAGTCTTTCCTTTCTTTTTCTGTTACAGTTATACAAGCAGAGTGGTTACAAATGGATTGAAAGCCCAAATGAATAATCCAGAGATGATAGTCAGAGGGTTGGATCCACAGATAGGTCATTTAATTGACAAGTTGAAACATTTTAATCAGGTAAGTATTTATGTTTGGAAAACTGAAAAGGCTTTTGTAAAAACGTTTCTCATGTGCCTTCTCTACTGACCCTTCTTGCCCTCCTCTTCATTCTTTCACACATGTGCACAGTGGGGAAAACATCTCACTCCATACTTTACAGGGAGATGAGTATTGTAGAAACATGAAAAACAAACAAACATCTTCATTGAGGACCATTTATTATACTTGTGAAGGCTGGTCACATAACCCTTCACACAATTTTGAAGAATGCCTACATCAGTATTGATAAAGTAATACCAAAGATTTTGTCCTCCATATCACTTGAAGTGACCTCTTTTAGTGGAGAATAGCCAGAATATAGTTATATTTTGTATTCCATCCAATAGAAAATTTTGACCTGAACTGAATTGAATTGAACTGAACTGATCTAAAACACACATTGTGAGATAATGAAGGTTATCCACATTGACCTTTCAGCAATTTTTAAAAGAGGTACATTTAATTCAGAGTATGTCTACTGACCTGGCAAGATGACACGAAGTCGCAGTAAACTCCCATGATGGTCCAGGTATCTCAAATTTCAATAGTTCTGTATTCATAATATAGAGAATTCTATAGAGTTAGACTCTGTTTACGAAGGCACAGTGCAGTAAGATTTCAAAATATCCTTCACTAACCATATGGGGTACAATTAAAATAGCTTTTAAAGTTTTCCTGAAAGTATCTTTTTCTGAACAAAAGATGATCTGCCAGTAGGCATGTCAGAATCATCATGAACTTGTGCTGTCAAGTTATTCACTTGAGCTCTGAGAGCTGTGTGCAGCCATCTGCTGAGAACTTTGATCTGTCCCTTGATACTGAATATATTAAAGTTTGTATTATTATGACATTGCACTAATGTGTAGACACTGTCAGTCCAAATTAGCTAGAACAACCTACCTTATTTAACCAAAATTGCTTTTCATTAATGTAAGCATATTTTCTTGTCCAACTTGAGAAAGTGTTGTTATGGGTTGGTAATGACAGAGTAGCATCTCTCCCCAGTTGTTCTCCCTTAGAAAGTAGGCAATTTTTGACAGTTGCTACTAGTGGTAATGTTGATTGTGCTGATTCATGTAAAAAGAGAGAGAGAGAAACAGTGTGTCTCCCACAGCTCATTGCTTTTGCTTTTTATTCTGGAACTTGAGGTTAGGAGTCTTTTATGCTGACAAAACCAAATCTCCAATCTGATGCCACCTTGCAAATATTGTTTATATTTTTTAATCAAAAGAAATGTGTGATATGGCAAGAAGCCCTGCCATACAAAGGGAAAAAGTCACCCTCACCATCAGCAGGGATGATTCTCTCTCTCTCTCTCTCTCTCTCTCTCTCTCTCTCTCTCTCTCTCTCTCTCTCTCTCTCTCTCTCTCTCTCTCTCTCTCTCTCTCTCTCTCTCTCTCTCTCTCTCTCGTGATAGACGATGAGAAATGAGATTTTGAAGAAACCAGGAACCACAAACTCTTCCTGCACTTCATAAATTAGAATGTTACTTTCTACAACCATGGAACTATGATTATATGCCACAATCATTGTGAAATAAGATTTCTTATTCAATTTCGTACATGGAACGGAAGAGGATATTCTCTTATTTTACAACTCAGACAACAAAATGTCTTGGACTAGCCTTGCAGGAAGAAAACATTAAGTATTCCATTAGGCTCAACCTGCTGGGTGCCATCTGTAGCTTTTCAGATCCTGGCCTTCAGCACTAGAACATAACCTGTACTTGAAAAGTAGTAATTCCATGAATGGTATAACATTACATTCTGTCTTCAATTACTTCTCCATCAAATAAAGGTTTATTCTGTGACTTTCTATTGACCTTTAAGAGAAAACATTTCTTAACAAATACAGCTCTGTAAAATGTGCTTGATTGCATGAATTAAAGAAAATACTGATTATTGCCTTAAGAAGCTTTATTGTTAAGCAGTACTAATTACTGCCATGATTTTAGTGAGCTTTATCACAGATAAAATAATCAAAGAAGATTCTACTTTTTAAAATATGTAATAGTTTATGTAGATATTTATCTTAGAGTTGATTAATTAATGAATAAAAGCTGACACTCAAAAGATAAGTAAGGTTGCAATTCTATATGCATGTTTGTTAAATTTAATTGGGCTCATTAATAGCCAATAGATACGTTCAGGAATTTTAGTATAAATCATAATATTTCAGTATTATCCTATAATGGATAATACCCCAGTATTATCATGAACACCTCTTGTACATATATCCCCTTTATATTTAATAGTTTATGAAAAACTATCTTGAATATCCTTCCTTTTATTCTTTTTTAAATCTTGAGTATGGCAGCAATTTACAAACTAAACACTTTCTACTTTAGAGGAAAAATCCTGTCATCTACTTACTAGATCTTCTGAAGTCATACTCATTTTCTACAGGAAAATGACAATACAGGAAGGACATGAGTGTTGCAAGGGAGAATTGGAGAGGGTGCTTCCCTCACAGCTTGATGAATGGAAACTGCCAAGAAAACTCCATAGACATATCCAGTAAATCACTAGGAGTAGAGTTGAAATCAAAGGGTGTTCTACCTTTTAATAAGTTAAAAAGTAAAGGAGTCCCTGCAGATTTTATTCTGCTAGGCATTGCCAACTATAGGGGGCAGTGCTCATGTCTGTTTCAAGGCCATTGAGCCAGCACTGTCCAAAGACATTTCCATGATCGTATGGCCAGCATGATGTCATGGAGCACTGTTACCTTCCCATCAAAGTGGTACCTATTTATGTAATCATATTTGCATGCTTCTAAACTGCTAGATTGGCAGGAGCTGGGGTAAGGTTGGGAGAGTTCCAGAGGTGGTATTCAGCAGGTTCTGACCAGTTCTGGTCAGATATGTAGTTAATACATGTTATTATTTATAGTGGCTGAAATAATTTTAATTATCTCCATGTTGACAATAAGTTTAAATTATTTAAAATTATGCTGTCTTTAACATGAAAACTAAAATACATGTACTTCCCAGCTCCACATCCCAGGGAATTTTTTTTTTTTTTATGAATTTTGTGTTGACCCATGTTGTGTTCAGTTAAAGAATTGTTTAATGATAAATATACAATTCAACTGTATTTTTTACTATCAAAAATACTAAACATAATCCTGAGTTCTCTTACTTATACCCGATAAATGTGTGGTCTTAAGTCTTTGTCCTGCTTTAAAATATAGTTCAATTCAACATCATTAGAACATCCCTGCTGAATTTAGCCTAGGGGGAGAAAAATCCACAAACACCATTTGATTCTGTCCAATGTGAGATTTCAGCATCCTATTCCTAGGTCTAAAAATTAGTAAAATTGGGTTAGCTAGGAAAATGTGTTTATGCTGCTTAGATCTTCAAATCAACCTCAGGTCCAAAAGTAACTTGAAAAGCCACCAGCATTTCAAAGTATTGTGAATGAATGTTAGACATGGAGTGATCTTAGATGTGAGATTTCATAGACTGGAGCAGAAGTTTGCGGTTGCATCTGATTCAGAAAAGTGGTTATTCCTCCCCCTCCCCACCCCATCATTTTAGCACTATAGAAACAGTAATTTTATCTTTCATTGTATTGGTCCTTGATATTAAGCTGCAAATTGGATAGGTTGCATTAAAATGTAACCAAGCATCTTCTTCTCATCCCTATTTATGGGATGATACAGAAACTGCCATAGTTGAAAAATGATAAAATCATATTTTTCCATAGAACCCTGCTTTGACCTTTCTGATAACTGGTTTCTTGGAATTTTAACTACAGGGATATCATGGACTAGAGAAGATGGTAGAATACAAATAATTGTAATTTGTACTCCAAAGCTTTTATTTATTGAGATTTAACTAGATATAGCACCTTGTTGGTAGTTAGATTGAAACTTGTTGGTAGATAGATTGTTTAACTTGTTGGTAGATAGATTGAAATATCATTTATTCCAGAAACAATGATTTCAGTTGTTTGGGAGATTTTAGATGAATAGACATATTCAAAGCCCCCAAATTTGCCTTAAGTCAAATAAGAAAATCAAGGTGGAGATATTGTTTTTCTGCATAAGTAGTATTTCTGGAATCTTTGCAATTTTTTAATCTAACATCTGGTATGAAAAGTATTTACTGCCTTCTAGTGCTGCCAGTGGATTTCTGATGTAATCAAACTACAAATATTCTGTTTGTTTTGTAAAAAACAGCAACTTTAGCTATAATTAAACTAAAGATTACTAACAAGCTTCAGAGTTAAAAACAGAAGATTGTACCCGAGCTACAGATTCTGTAAAATGTCTCATTTAAGCACAAATATATTTTAACAGAAAAAAAGGATATTTATATAAATTCTCCCTATCTTATTGTTATGTGCTAGCAAATATATAATCCTAAGAAATTACTTATTATTCATGTGCTGTTTCTCTGGGTATACAGGTATCATTCCTCTTGCAAACTGTTTCAAGAATTATTTGCCCAGATAACCTATTAAGTACATTTTGTGTGGGCTTTTCTGTGTTCATTAGGAAAAATTAATCATAAGTCAGAGCGCTACACTGAATTATGGTGACAGAATCAAATAGAAGCATATATACTGAATGCATGATATAGGAATAATTAAAATGAAAAAAATATTTCATTTTTTCATGTAATATATAAACCAGTTTAAGGGAACTCTCAGAGTTTTATATATTCCATTTTATTCCATTTATTTTTTATTGTCTGCTGGAAAATTTGGGTTTGTAGTTGCATATAACTTTTTGCAAATGCTCCCAGCATTAGACACTCTGCATATATTGTTTAGGCAAATATCTGTTCTTTTTCATTCATTTTCACAGAAAGAAAATGTTTTCTTGTGTCAATATTTCAATTGTGAGCAGTAATATAAGCAGAATCTACGGTATATTTCTACCTATGTATGTGGAAATATCCATTTTACCTTATCATCCAACTCTGTACCTGTAGAACTCCATGACAGGTTTTCTTATGAGACATCCTTGGTGCT